TAATTTTTTTCATTTAATAAGTTAGAAGTCCTTACTAATAAGTTTAAACTTTTGAAATGAAAACAATATTTTCTTTCTAGCATGTCAAAACACATCACAGTAGCAGTTTAGGAGGGTAATTTGCATCGTGTCAGGGTCTCTGCAAAATGAAAACAACAAAAGAAAATCAAATATTTCAAAAGCTAAGTTGAACTGAAAAAAAAAAGACAAAACTAACCTAGAATAATGAAAAAACAGGACAAATTTAAAGGTAGTAGCAGTGATTTTGAGTCTTGCAACAATTAACAACCCATTTGTGTCAGTTAAGTTATTTTTTTATTATTGTTTTTAAAGCACTAAAGATTTAGTGCAGATTGAGGAGCATTGTTCCTGCTGATTCTTGGGACTAATTAATGACATTTTTGGAGCCTACTGGCAGGAGATTTAAAACTGTATCTTTTTTTTTCACAGCAAAAACAGGAGTGTTAAAATTTCAGTGTTAAACTTTTGGGTGTTGATTTAACACCCCCTAGTGTTATTTTAACACTTTCTGAGTACACTCCCACCCAGTGTTGGTGTTAATTCACAGTGTTGATTTCCTCAGTGTTGTCTCAACACTGGACAGTGTTAAATAAGCTCCGCCCATAGTTAAGTCTTATACAACACTTAACAGTGTTGTTATATGACACCATGCAGTGTTGAAAGAAGTTTTCTGAAAAGCCCCGCCCTCTTCCACCTCATATCAGACAGACCAGTATTTACCCAGCATTCCTTGCTGAGAAATCTTGCAGAAATTATGTTTTTGCATGTTTATGACTATTAAAGACGTTCATGAGAGTAAAAATTAGTTGTTCTGGTTTGTTTTCTTGTTCAGGTTTATCAAGTTGTTCAACCTTATGGTAGTGGCCAAAAATCGACACCATGAGTGAGAGGTACTTCCTGGTGTGTGAAGAGTGACTCCATTATACTTTTCTACTAACTACTGAGTAGTGTCACTACTAAGAGTTTGATATTAACTCTGAGTGTTAAATTTACACTCAAATATATGGTGTATTGGTGTTTGTTAACCTTTTAAACACCATAATTTCCTTTATTAATAATATTATACAGGTGTTACTTTTAACACTGTACTTCAACACTGTTGAAATGTTAATATGACACCCAATATTGTTGAGTATTTAACACTGGCTGGTTTTACTGTTAACACTATATTTTAACTAGAGATGGGATAAATCAGTGTTTCCCAAAGTTGGGGTCGGGACCCAAAGTGGGGTCCTGAAAAAATTTTCTGAATTAATCACATTTTTGCCTTAGTTGTTATAAAGGTGTGAGGTTAGTGTATTTAAAGTGGATAAATGTAGTATAAAATATTGTTACTATGCCCATGTTTAGTTGACCTGATACAAATGTTAATCATCCAGAAACAGTTGGGGGCACAGGTCTCTGCTACTGTTATTTTGTGGGTCAAAAGCTGAAAAGTTTGGGAACCACTGCACTTTGGTTCCCAAAGTTGGGCTTGGGACCCAATTATGGGNACAATTTTTTTCTTTTTGATAAAATAACTGGTTTTAGTCTAAACTGGGCTGTAGCATCTGTAAMGTGCAAGCTTTCAAACAAAAACAGAGAAAAAGTAGCAATAAACAATATGTTGTATTTTATACAAAATATTTAAAAGGAATAAAGGGGTTAAAAAAGGAAACATTTTTAGTGGAATGTGCCTTCAAATATAACCAGGAGTTGACATTTTAATCAAGACAAGAGAAAAACAAAGCGTGAGAAGAGACCTACAGCTGTTGTTCAGGACCCGATCCAGACTCTCACGCCACTGAGCAGCCTCGTCAGGAGTTGGTCTGCAAAACAAGCAATAAAGTATATACATATATATAGTTAAAAACGGAAGAACAATAGCTTATAGTAATAAAAACAAAACAAAAAACACGGTGAAACCATTCAGTGAAGGACGTGCTTCATGTAGGAGGAAAACAGGTGAAGTTAGCTGTTAGCTGTTATTTATGGAAGCAGGAGAAAAGGCTTAAATGTTTTATAATCAAGCTACAGAGGAAGATTTATTTACAGTAAGTTTCTAAAAACAACCTCTCTTACAATTCTTGCATCAAACATGGTAAAAATTGAAAAAAAGAATAAGAAAGGGTACACAGCAAAAACAGGAGTGTTAAAATGTCAGTGTTAAACTTTTGGGTGTTGATTTAACACCCCCTAGTGTTATTTTAACACTTTCTGAGTAAACTGACACCCAGTGTTGGTGTTAATTCACTGTGTTGATTTCCTCAGTGTTGTCTCAACACTGGACAGTGTTAAATAACCTCCGCCCACATTTAAGTCTTATAAAACACTTAAGTGTTGTTATATGACACCATGCAGTGTTGAAAGCAGTTTTCTGAAAAGCCCCGCCCTCTTCCACCTCATATCAGACAGACCAGTATTTACCCAGCATTCCTTGCTGAGAAATCTTGCAGAAATGATGTTTTTGCATGTTTATGACTATTAAAGACGTTCATGAGAGTAAAAATTAGTTGTTCTGGTTTGTTTTCTTGTTCATTTTGATCAAGTTGTTCAACTTGAAGTTTATGTTATTGGTGAAAAATCGACACCATGAGTGAGAGGTACTTCCTGGTGTGTGAAAGGTGACTCCTTAATACTTTGACATTGAGTGTTGATGCAACACTCCAAAGAGTTTGATATTAACTCTGAGTGTTAAATTTACACTCTCACTTTGATGGTGTATTAACACCTTATGGTGTCCTTTAACCTTTCAAATGCCACAATTTACTTTGTTAATAATAATAATACACTAGTGATACTTTTAAAACTGTATTTTAACACTGTTGATATGTTAACATGTGACATCCAGTATTGTTGAACATTAAACACTGGCTGGTGTTAAATTAACAAAAAAATGTGTTAAATTTTAACACTTTCATAAACTTTATTTTAACACCAGC